TATGTTTTGTAAAATAACTGAAAAACTAAAATTGTGCCTGTGTCCAAATATATTTGGACCTAACTGTATATGTTCATTTCTAACTAAACATGTACTTATCCGAAACCTACTAACACTGATTTCTTTTTGTAATGTTTTTATTTAATGACAAGTCCTTTGCAGATGTTGTTGTACATAAAGAAGCATGGAGCACAGGAGTATAATTACTTGTGCTATCCTGATTTAGAATCGGTAAACAGTGGGCTAAAGCCTGATGTCACAGGGCTGCTCTAGGCTTGCAGCATAGAGGTCCTCAGAGCTGTTCTTCTATGCAGCTTAAAGGTGAGTATGTATGTTTATTTTTTTTTTAGTAACCCCAAACCACTTCTTTAAATTGGTTCTAAAGGCTTAACGTTTTTCACCTTAATGCATCCTCTGCATTGAGGTAAAAAAAAATCTTCTGTGACCAGGATCTACCCCTCCCCCCCATCCCCCTAAAAACTTACCTGAGCCAATTTCGATCCAGCCTTCTGACTGAGAGTACTCTTACTCCCTGCAGTTTTTTTCAAGGAGATTACAGGGAGTACTCTTCATCCCAGAAAAAAGAAATTCTGTGCCTCTACCAGTAGGACTCCTAGTCCAGGCCGTGGGGAAAGGAGGAAATGTTTCTTTCATCCCTCTCAGTCTTCCAGGCAAGTCTAAGGCTGGCCATACATCTATACAATTTTTTGTACACATTTCCTTTAGCTTTAACCATATAATATGGAGGTCAAACTTAAATACTTAAAATTTGTATGCAATCAGACAGGCTCTTGCACTACATACTTGAAGGTAAATCTAAAGGAAATTAAACTAGAACATTGTATAATGTATGGCCATCTTAAGACAGCAGCATACTTTTGTAAAAAAAAAAATGGCCATCCAAACCAGCCAAGACTGGTTTAAAGGCCTCTTACCAGTGATAGGGAACCCCACATTTGGCCTTCTGGTCCCAGAAATGGCCAGATACCTGAGTCCAGAGCATCATTTCCAGGGGCTACAAACTGAAGTTTTTACCATCTACGTCCTCCCCACTTTATGCTTTCAAGTGTGTCTCTTTCCTTGTCTCAAGGGCAGATCTGCTTACTTCTGTCTTGCCTCAAAGAGTCATTATCCATATACCAACAGAAAAAAGCTTTTAAAGTTTCTACTTGGACCTCTTTACATCTTCAAACCAAAGAGAGGAGTCTGGACCATTCTGGATCTGAAAACTCTCAACCTGTTTCTACAAGTTCATGTTCTGCGTGGAAATTTCCAGGTTGGCTATTGCCTCTCCTTGTGGGGGATTTCTGGGTTCCATTGCTTAGTGGATGAAATAAGTTATCATTAGAGGCTATAATCTGAAGGATGAAGTTCTTCCTTTCCCTGTTAAGACACGCTCTGCAAGATTTGCTGATGCTTCATTGGCTTTTCAGTATCTAGCAGCTATGTTTCAGATTTGCAAGACTGCCACCTTGTTCGCACGTATGTGTAATTCTACCAGGTGGATGTTCAGGCCTCCTCTAATGCCAGTTTCAGACGATATCTCTGTGCAGCATCCAGCCCCAACCCATTACAGGCCTGAAAGATGGGAACAGTGCTGTGCCATTGCTCCCTCTTGATCTAGGGAACCTGACTGGTAGTTGGAGACCGTAATGCTGAGAAGATGGTCTGGGATACACAGCATTAGCTATAACACATGCCTATGTATTCTAGCTCTCTGGTGAATGTATAAGGGTGGAGGACTATGCACAGATTGGAGACTAGGTGGACAGGTCATTTTTTCACACTTTATTTTTGAATATACATATTTATTATTGGGCAATCTATTTTTGCAAGCACTTTATGGTTGATTTGTTTGTATTACACTATATGTGGCGTTAACCCTTCATGCACCTTTACTTTTTTTTGTTGAACTTTTGAGATTTTGAGTAGTGATCAGATTCATTCACTCTTATGGGATTGTACTTTTGTAATTGTATAATTAGTGTTTATATTTAAGCGCTGCACTTTATATTTTATAGTATTGTATTGCAAGGTTGGTGTGTCACCTGTTTTAGTGCTATCTGCTATTTCTCAGAGCTCTAACTTATTTCCCTTTAGCAGAAGTTTGCAAAGACTTTAAATAAATCATCATCTACAGTATGTAATATCAAAAGATTCAGGCCCGTTCACACCTGGCGGTTTGGGATCTCAGGCAGAATCGCTGTGAACAAGTGCGATTTGAAGTAGAGCGATTTAAAAAATAGTTTATCCACTACTTTTTTTTGATTTCATTGCGACTTGCATTGATTTCTGTTAAATGAAGTTGCAAGCCACAGTGAATTTGGAGGTACAAATCGCACTGATCTGCAGCTTTAAAATTGTGTTACTTGTGAAGTGAAGTAATGCGATTTTAAAGTTGCATTCAGTGTGAAGCAGGCTTAAAGCTTTATTCAAAAAAGCATCACCATCTTCTTTGACTCATTTAACCACATCAATACCACCATACGTATATACACATCCAGGTATTGTAGTGGTTTACTCCGGGAACATTTTGTACATACATTTGGATGATTCTGAACAATGTAAAAGTAATCCTAGAGGCTATACAGCCACTGGATTACTTTTACAGGTGGCAGAAGGGAGGCCCCCTTCGTGCTGCCTCCATTACCAGTCTTTTCCAAGCAATTAATAGTAAAGAGAGCAAAATCCTCTATGTTTCTGAGGTTTAAATGAGGGGTTCCAACCATTGGCACTAAAAAGTGTATCTAAACCCAAAAATAATTCCTTAGATGTGGTGTGTGTATTAGGGTTTTTTTCAGGCTTTTTTCCCTTTATATTTCACCTGGTAATAGCACACAGCTTTGTTCATCTATTACACTGTAGATTGATGAGATCAGTAATTTACTTTACACAATAAAGATAGGGTCCTTTGTGTCTTGTTTTAGGCTTACAGAAAGTGACTAGGGCACTGCATTTTGGCAAAATCAAAATGTGTTTTCAGTAAACAGAACATACAGTGCTCCACTACAGGTACACTCACCAGCACAACCCCAGCTGCTGGGTGCCGATGATTTGTTTTCCACATCAGAAGCAAAAGTAGAAAGCAGGTAAGTAGCTGCACTCTGGATAGAGAGCCACCATGGTAGTTTTATTGAACAGCCCAGTGCAAGACAGACCACCTGAACGTAGGGTTGCCACCTCATTATCCCTTTTTTTAAAACCAACACACATATTAATTACACAGGTTCTGAGAATAATTTATTGCAGATAAGGCATCAAGTGGGTTTAATTACCAACTTGATCAGTCACAGAACCTGAGTAATTAATATGTGTTTGGGTTTAAAGGGATGAGGTGGCAACCCTACCTGAACACCACCCTTTAGCCCTGGTTAACAATATGCGGTGAGGGACACCACATGTAATTCGCACAGGAATCGCACCACATTCCTGTGCAAATTAAATGCAAATGTCCTGTGCGCTGCAAGTTGAGCCATGCACTTTGTATGGCTCAAATCACATCACATTCGCACCAAACAGATGCAGGGCCCTTTTTTTTAAATCTGCACCTGAATCACATTGCATGGGTGTTCTCACCCATGCGATGCAATTTCTGGCAATCGCATCGCATCGCATTTTACAATCTGTTTGGGGTGTCATTCATTCATCATTAACACCAGCACCAGATCGCATGAACGCAATGCAATTGCAATGCGATGTGGGAAACACACAAGATTCACAACATTTCCTACACCGCATTGGTGTGAACCGGGTCTCAATGTGTTTCATTCATAATGAGCTTAAAAATACAAGAAGTGCAGTGCTACATAAAATTAAATGGCAAAGAAAAAATAAATAAAATACAGTAAAATAATATTAAAATAAGTCCACTGTAATATCAATATATGGATTCTTCAGTCCACAGTGAAATATCAGACGTTGTAGGTCTCCCGTTGTGATAATATGAATAGATTGCCTACTCACCAGAAACCCAGTAATAAACGCATATCTGTATCACATGCATCCTAGGACCTTGAATAAAGACAGCCCGGAAATGGAATCCTCTGATGGTCCCTCAGTGGTGTAAGAAAAGGATACCGATCTGGTCTCCAAGTATTTACTTCATCAAGTCTGCAGCAATACCTAAATCACTGGGGCAGTATACATCTAATGTGGGCCGCCGGACCTCCTGATCCGGCGGCGTAGCTTCAAAGCGTGCAGGGGCTCCTCCTAGACGCGTTTCGTGTAAACACACATCTGCAGTAGGGGTGATGCCATGCACGCCGGACGCCATATTAGCCCTATATATAGGATAGAAATATGCATAATCCCGCCAGCGCCATTTTGCTGTAGACCGGCATACTGCGCATGTGCGGGCGCCCATTTTGCCGGCGATTTCCGGGTTGCTAAAAAATGGCCGCCGTATGTCCCACTGCGCATGCGCCGGTGCCATTTTCTTGGTTAGAAGCTCCCGTATGTCCGCATTGGAATGCGCATGCGCGCGGCCGCACGGCCGCCATTTTGCTGGAGGCAACACCTGAAAACCGAGGACACAACTCAGTGTCCTAACCCCAGAGTTGCCAGAGAACCTAAAACCTTCAAACGCGGCCGTACGGTCCCCAATCTTACTGGGGGTGACACCCAAATTATGAGGACCCATTCCAATGTCCTAGCAAAAACCGGCCGAAAGGCAAAAAATCAATATAACAAAAAACTCTTGTACCCCATACATCTCTTAATGAGCTTAGTTATTTTTTGTACCTACTGAAATCACAGCCAGCTCCCACAGCCATGATGGCAGCCATGGTTATCCGAAGACTGGTGAAGAATCAGTCCGGTTGAAGACACTGCTGGACTCCTGGGCTGACGAGTGTCTGTTTCTTTAACCACCTCCCACCCGCCGTATAAGGAAATGATGGGCTCAAGGCGGTTCTCTCGTTCTGGGAGGACGTCATATGAGGTCCTCCCACTCTAACCGTGCGGGCGCACCACTGAGGGGCACGCAGCATGGCGATTGGTGATGTGCTGTGTTCCTCGGACACAGCGGATCACCGATCAATGGAAAGAGCCGAAAACGTCGGCTCTGTCATGTGATCAGCTGTGTCCAATCACAGCTGATCGCATGTAAATAAGGAAATTCCGGTTATCAGCATTTCTCTCCTCACGAGCTGTCACGCTGACAGCTCATGAGGAGAGAGGAGAGCCGGTAATTGGCATTACTCAGAGGGGACATGTACACTGATCATCAGGGCACTGATGATCAGTGTGCCCTGATGATCAGTGTAACCACATCAGTACCACCTGTCAGTGTCCATCAATGCCACCTGTCAGTGCTCATCAATTCCACCTGCCAGTGCCCTCAGTGCCACATCAATGCCACATATCAGTGCCTACCAGTGCACATCAATGCCACTTATCAGTGCCCATCTGAGCTGCCTTTCAGTGCTACCTATCAATGCCAGTCAGTGCCGCCTATCAGTGCGCATCAGTGCTGCCTGTCAGTGCTGCCTATCAGTGCCACCTAACAGTGCCAGTCAGTTCCGCCTATCAGTGCCATATATAAGTGCTGCCTTTCAGTGCCCATCAGTGATTCCTGTCAATGCTCATCAGTGCCACCTACCAGTGCCTCCCCATCAGTGCCCATCAGTGCAGCCTATCAGTACCCATCACTGCAGCCTCATTAGCGCACATCAGTGAAGGAGGAAAATCACTTATTTACAAAATTTTATAACCAAACTAAGAAAAAAACTTTTTTTTTTCAAAATTTTCAGTTGTTTTTGGTTTGTTTAGCAAAAAATAAAAAGCCCAGAGGTGATTAAATACCACCAAAAGAAAGCTCTATTTTTCTAAAAAAAAAAAAGATAAAAATGTCATATGGGTACAGTGTTGCATGACCACGCAATTGTCATTCAAAGTGTGACAGTGCTGAAAGCTGAAAATTGGCCTGGGCAGGAAGGGGGTATAAGTGCCCTGCAGGTAAGTGGTTAAAGTCAGCAACTACAGTATTTGTAGCTGCTGACTTTTTTTAAAAGACTGCAGTTCCTAGAGTCTGTAAGGCTGCTGGTCTTCAGTTTACAGTTTTTCAAAGTTTTACCAAGTTGATGTTTCTGCCTCTGCTGATGCCAATATTGCAAGCAGTTCTGTGCACATGGTTTGGTTTTCTGTTGCTGGACTAGTAGGCCTGTGTTGCAAAACCCCCCCTCATTTTGGTAGACAGCTTTTGGATGCCTTATAGTATTAAAGCGGAGTTCCAGTGAAAATAAAAAAAATAAAAGTCAGCAGCTACAAAAACTGTAGCTACTGACTTTTAAAAAACAGCCACTTACCTGTCCCTCGATCCCGCGGTGTCCCCCTGCAGCCAGTTTTACTGGCCACCCTTTATTCCCAGCGCCGGCATCTTAAGTTTGGGAACCCGGCTGCGACAGCCAGGTGCTCACTGCGCATGCGTGAGTAGCGCTGCACTTCCTGAATGGTCCCGTAGTCTTCTGGTACCTGTCACATGTCCCAGAAGACTACAGGGAGGGGTGGAGGAAGGAGGGGGTGGACAACTTCCGCTTCCGATCACAGCAGAAGTGGGAGCAGGTACGTGTCAATTTCGAATACCCACTCCCCAAAGGTGCCAATCCTTAATGGGTAGCAGGGGATCAATCCTTAAAGCAGAACTTTCCCTTTTGGATGGAGCTCCGCTTTAAGATTCCTGCATCTCCAAACGTATGATATGGAAAAAAAAGATTTTTGTATTTGGCATACTATTAATTTCTTTTAGTTAATTGATGGACACAAGTCCCTCCTCTGTGCTTATAACCATTGGCTCTTGGTACTGCAGAGAGGACACAAATATTAGGAATTCTATGTCCTTCAATGGGCTCCAAGAAATGGGAGTTTACAGTAATTACAAAAATCCAATTTCTTCTTTTACATTTTTAATGGCTTTTATAAAATCTTACCAGTGCAGCATTTCTTTTCCCCAGATATACATAGTTTTCTTTCTGCTTCTCTATGGTTCTTCCTATATGTGTTGTTGCTCCATACATTCTTAAATAAAACAAACTAATTACTAGAACTCTTTTAATGTAAGCAATTAAAGTGAAATAAAGTATTCCTTCAGATACACTGAACATCGCTACTTAAAATGTATTCTAATAAAGTGAAAACTGCATAGATAACTGCTGCACATTATTTAAAATATTTCTCCATGTACACTAACAATGCCGATGAACTATGGCGCACTGAAATTCTTGGACCAAAACCAAAAGTTCAGGATGCATTTGGCTGAAAACCAAAATGGACAGTTTTAAAAAAAATATATACTTTTTTTATATATAATATTTGACTTCTTTATTAATATCATGAATTTAAATGAATATGAATTTATTTTCAGCACCTTTCGGCTAATAGGCTGCTTTCACACTGAGCAGTTTTTGGAGCACTTTTGCGTTTAAAAAAAAAAAGGCGCATGAAAAGCTCAAGAAAAATGCATCCTTTTAAATTCAATGTTTTCAAACTGGTCTGTAGCGCTTCCCTTGCAGTGTTAAAAATCTTGCCTGGTGCATTTTTTGGTGCATATTTGACAAGTAAAAAAAAACACACACACCAAAAAAATGCAGCTCCCCATTGAGGCCTGGTTCATACCAGTTTGTTTTTTTGCGGAAACACACTACAGTCCATTTAACATGGTTTCCTATGGGACACGTTCACATCTATGCTTTTTTGAGCAAAACGGACAAAACGCAAACTGCATTAGTGGGAACCAGGCCTGAAATGCATTGCAAATGCATCAAAATGCACACGTATTGCATTTTTTATGCATTTTGTGTTTTTATCCTTCCCAGCAAAAAGCTGGGCAAAAAAAAATTCACAAAAAAAAAGTGTCAAAAATGTGCGTGAAAAAATGCAAAATGCACTGCAAAATGGACAAAACGCAAACTGCATTATCTTCTAGATTGTAAGCTCTAACGAGCAGGGCCCTCTGTTTCCTCTTGTACCAAATTGTAACTGTAATGTCTACCTTCATTTTGTAAAGCGCTGCGCAAACTGTTGTCGCTATATAAATCCTGTCAAATAATAATTATTATTATTATACAGTATTTATAAAGCTCAGCGCTGTACATTACAAAGGGGGACAGAACATGTGACAGAACAACAACAATACAATGCAAAACATGAGGGGATCGGGGGCCCTGCTCTTTCAAGCTTACAATCTAGGAGATAATAATTATTAATGTGAACCAGGCCTGAAATGCATTGCAAACGCCTTAAAAACACATAAAAAAAACGCACCATGTCGTGTTTTTGATGCATTTGCTTTTTTATTCTACCCAGAAACAAGAAACAAAAAAAAACATAATAAAACAAAAGCTCATCAAAAATGCACATGCAAAACCACAAAATGCACTGCAAAACAGGCAAAATGCAAACTGCATGGTGTGAACCAGACCTGAAACGCATTGAAAACCCATCAAAAACACACACACATGTTGTGTTTTGATGCTTTTTTTGGGTCACGAGACCTATGAAAAACGTACCCTAAATGCGATAAATTCGCTCACTTTTCATTTTCGGACGATATATTTAGGCCGCCGGTATATCGGTGCATCCCTAGGATGAACAAATCCCCTTGCCAAGCTATTGCATACCGCAGGTGCTGTTCAGCCTACAATTTTCCGACAGTCTTCAGAGACTTTTGTTGAACAAAGTGGTGCTGTCAGGTCCATACACTGTTGAATTTTGGCTGAGGCAGTTGAAAGCAGACCAAATTCAAGCTGTGTTTGGCCAGTGAAAACCTTCATTTTCTCCTTTCATTATAATTTAAAGTACTTTTTGCCTTTCTGCCTATAAACAGCTTGTATACCAAGTGCTGTTACTGATACAGTAGGGAATCATAGCTGTTTATGTCTTGGGACTTCTACTACAGAGATAGGATTACATTGGGTAAGGTAATTACAGGTGGAGTTATGCAGACACTTTACAGCTCCACACATTATGACTTGCTGCTTGGCAGAGCTCCTCGGTTAACAGAAAAACATGTTTATTATCCTGTTTACAAGTATAAGTTTTATGTAATAAAGTAGGAAAGGCCAAGGGCCTGTCAAGGCTACTTCTGAAGCACTTAAATCGCAGGCAGCGCTCTCAGCCCAGACTGGGGTCTCCTCTGCTGGACTACAGAACACCTCCTTTCCCCACTCCTCTCTGACTCTCTCCACATACATACATTTTCTTTTCCCACAAAGCAATGCTGCTGGTACTCCCTAGAACCAAAATATTGTGTATAGGAAATGGGCTTTTAAGGATGCTGTTTTGGCAGACATGCCTACAACCATACATAATGACCTTCCAGCAGCTGCACCTGCTGGAATTTTTTTAGGGGGGCTCTTTAGGCTGCATTCACACATGAGCGTTTTGCAGTTTGAAGATCAACGCTCCAAAAAAGCTCAAACTTAAAAAATCATTTGTTCTCTATGGTGCCTGTTCATACCTGATCGTGCGAACAGGTACCATAGAGCAGTGTTTCTCAACCTTTTTTCAGTTAAGGCACCCTTTAAAATTATGAACAGTCCTGAGGCACCCTTCAAAACCATGGACAGTCTTGAGGCACCCCATTCTAAAATGGGGTGCCTCAAGACTGTCCATAATTTTAAAAGGGCACCCCATTCTAAAATGTGAAAAACTATTCTAATAGTTTTATATAACACATCGACACCCACACATGTAGGACACACAATGTTAGAGGTGATTTATTCTTCCAAAGCAAATACACTTTTTCACACTGGTACTGACTAGTATTCCAATGTTTCTCTTCTCCCTCGGTTTTTCTCCATCACGGAGCTAATGTGACCCCAGCACTGAGGGAGAGATGCAGGGGAGGGTCAAACTAGGATGCTGTGCAGGCAGCCGACATCCTCCTTATCAACTGATGATGTCAATGGTTGTCAGTACACTGGTGGCTAGAAGGTTGTAATGGTGCACAATGAAAACCTGTGGCTTTGTGTAACTAATGTCCCGTACACACTATAAGAAAATCATACAAAAGTTTTCGTACGAGGACCGATTGTCCGATAATCGGATCGTTAGTACACAGCTTTTGAAGCCGATCACGACAATTTGTACGACAATATCCGAAGGGGCAAAAATTTTTCTCGTACAATACCAGATCGTACGATTTTTGTTTAATCAGTTCAGTAGTCGTCTGAAAATACAATACAATTACAACGCAATACATGACATCACTTTCAAAATTCTTATCTTTCATAGGAGAATTTTCGTATCTTTAGTAACCTTTTCACTTTCGATGTGAGACTAGCAAGCGAAAAAAAGAGGCTAATCGTTCGTCCGATATTCTCATCGTGTGTACGGGGCATAACAGGCAGGCTTGTTCCATCTGCTGGCTTGTATACAAGTTTTGAGCAATTTTTAGACATTTTGCCAAAGTACCTCTGAAGAAACCTCAAGGCACCCTGGTTGAAAAAACGCTGCCATAGAGTACAATTGATTTTTTAGGTTTGAGCTTTGTTGAAACTTCGAGTTTCAAGCTATAATTGCTCAAGTGTGAATGCAGCCTTCGGCTGGCCATACACTATACAATTTTCTTTAGAAAATTGCTTTAGATATACCA